TCGACTCTACTGTCACTCCAGGAATTGGCCAAGTGTAACCACTTCCTAAAGCGTAGTATAGCGGGTTTAGGTTTAATTATCAACCCGGGTCCTAGATTTGCTGACTACTCAGTGAGTTCTTGTTATCTAGCAATAAAACTGGAGTGCAAGTCTAAACTACCAAACAAACAAAGCAAGTAAACTGGTTGTATTCAGGTTAAAGAGGTCACCCGGATATGGTTCCCCCTAGACTGCAGTTAAGCCGAATTGTAATTACCAAGTTCAGTTTCTATGATAGTTATACTGCGGAAGGTTCTTAAACAGTCTGAAGTCTCGACTAAAGGTCTTCAGACCCTCTCAATCTGACTCTCTAGCGGGCGACTAACCTCCACCGGAGTCGACAGATTGAGGCCCTAAGAACAAAACCTCCACTACCGGAGTAAATCCGGTACAGAATAGTGAGTTGGCTCCTCGACTAAAGTCACCAACTCCCTACCTTCAATCAAGGATACTCTATTAACCTAGGCAGATATTCTCATTCTAGGTTAAAGCAGAAACAACAGGAATTTGATCAGGATTCAAGTCATTCAATCATTAAAACCTCAATCGAATATAATCAATCACAGAATCAGTACTTGGGTTCATACAATCAAAGCCTAACATACAAATCTAGGGTTCTCCATACCCAGATGAATGGGAGAACTACTCCATGGAGAAGAAAGCAAAAGCAGAATCAGACACGGAATTCATACTGCGAAGGATGGATTCCTGCTTCTGGACGTTGATTGGCACTTCTCCAAACTCAAACTGGCCTCCAATGGTGTTGAAGATCAATCTAGGGCACTTGGGAACTCTTGCTCGTCACTTTCTCTCTCTAGGAACTGATCTCTCTCTCAAAAACTCGAATCCTCCCGAATTGTGGCTGAAATTCTGCTTAAAAGGAGAAAATCCCGACTCACACGGCCAGGGTGGCACGGCCGTGCAGCTCACCCAGTTGCCCGTGTGAGTCAAAACGCATCGTTTCATTTAGTTCGAATTCCAGGCTCTTTGCACGGCCAGAATGGCACGGCCGTGTGGACATCCCCTCTTGCCCGTGTTTTCTCTCGCAGAATGTGGCACGGCCAACCCGGCCACTTGCACGGCCGTGTCGATCCTCTGTTCTGCCCGTGTGTGCTCTCGGCAAAACACGCACGGCCAGGCCATTACTTCACACGGCCGTGTGAACATCAGGGCAGCCCGTGTGACCTCCTTTGTGACTTGTCTCGCGCCCGATCTTCATCCAATCGACCCCAAACTCGCTCCTAAACCTTTATTTACTTGCCAGGACCTGAAATATCAAAAACAAGCACAACCTAGCGTGAAATCGGTCTAAAACACGAGAAACCACATCTCCAACGGTGTAAGAACAGGGGTGAAAACATGTGTAACTAACGGTCTATCATTCTATTTCCTTGTTTGTTTGTAAATTGAACTTCCGTAATAGTTTGTTAGCTAGCCTAGGTCTATTTAAGGCATTCAATTGTATTGTAAAATTCAGTTTTGGTTTTAATAGAAGACAAACGTCAAGTTTGGTTCACATGTTTCGTATTGTGATTAGGAGTTGCTTAGAATGAGTTCTAGGGTACTCGTCACTGTATCGATCAAGCTAATCCCTCTTGATCGTGGCCATCCTTTATCTGGTTCTTCTCGAGCCTTTGCCCTTGTGAGCAATTGCACGAAAGAGCTAAACCCGCAAAACTATCCAACACACACCCTGTTTCGAAAGGGAATGGTTTTCAATCTCAATTGTTGCGCAATTCTGACTCCAAACCCTATCTAGGGTGTATTACATACTATATGATATGCTCTTATTTCAATACATGTCAATGCCATATGGTATAGACTGGTAAACGATGGCTCAATTTTTGTTGTTCCAAAAATATATCAAAGTGGATATCATTTTGAAGAGCACAATGAATCTGATCTAACTGTGCATAATAAATAAAATTCTGACTTAAAACGAGTGAGAAATCATCCATTAAGGATTAAAGGAAAAAAATTAAAGGCTTTTCAAGAGAGAGAAAGGGCGCTGATGTGGCAGATTTTGATTGGGTTATGAATAGTTATTGATCACAAGGTTATGCATCTGATCCGCTCCCTTGAGCTGCCAGGCTAATTTGGAATCTTAACTTATATTAAGGTTGTTTTAGAGAAATATTTTTCATGTAGGATTTAACAAATTCTACAATTTATCATGTCACCTTTATTATTTTAGTTTTGACCAAACCACTGTTACCACAGTTCAAAATCCATGGGGTGACATATTACATCCAGTATGAGGGACTAAAAAACAACCCGACATCTCTATTCCTCAGGAAACCTCACAGCCCAAAGAGTGGGAGAAGACGTATGGGGAGTGGATGATTGCCAAGCAAAAACCAAGAACAACCTGCAAAGAAAATGCTTCGTTGGGCAAGGAACCCACGCGAACCCATAATAGATCTCAACCGGAGAATGGCTCGCTCTTCAATGTACTCACTGATGAAGAGACAACAGAGGTAACAACCACGACCGTCGAGGGGGGCAATGACAAGAAGATTGCAGTCCGTGCCCATCAACGCCAGCGACTAATGTGGGGGGGGGGGGGGAGAAGAGTAAGGCCATGGAGAACATGCCAACTGGGTACGTGCATGGCAAGGTCACACAACCCACTAAGAACTTGCAATCCGGGGCCAGGGAATCATTCCCGCAACAGAGCCAACCCATTAGCCCAGAGCACAAAACCTACGCTCATGATGTCGAAGTCCATCCCATCTGCAGGCACAACAGTTTAGAGGGTTGGAGAAAAAACGTAGAATAACACTACACTTGAGTCGGCTGCATGGGGTCGCCCGCCAAACCTGAGGGAATAGTCCTTGCAGCCTGACTGGGCGTCCCAATCTCAACTAGTGACACACAATGTGACACAGACCTTGGATGGGACTACCACGTCCAACGTTTAATTTCAGGGAGTTTTTTGTTCACCCATCTTTTCTTAATGGATAAAAAATTATTTGTTAGGAACTGTAGGGGTGCAGGATGTAGAAAATTCCTTCGAGCTTATAGAGAGTGAAAGAGAAAGCATAGACCGAACATAGTAATTATAGTGGAGCTTCGTATAAGTGGAACTACCGCCCAGGATGTAATAAAAGAAATGGGCTTTGATAAACAACTGATAGTGGAACATACGAGATTGGATCGTGCCCTAGCTAGAAACAGTTGGCTGACGGCATACCCGGAGACTACAATTCGCCATCTGCCGAAGATTAAATCAGACCACAGATCGCTGTTGATCTCAACAAACCCACCCCATCAACCATAGGACCTAAAACTTTTCGGTTCCTAGCGGCGTGGTTGACTCATGAAGACTTCTAGAATATGCTTCAAGAAGCGTGGGACAAAGGAAGCTCCTACCTCCAGTCAGTAGCGGCGTTCGCAAACGACGCTACCCACTGGAATTTCCATGTTCCAGGAAAGGATCGAGAGACTGGAACACAGGGATGGTAACTTGCAGATAACATTTATATCCTACAGGAAGTTGTTCATTCTATGCGAGACAAGAAGGGTCGGAAAGGTTGGATGGTCCTAAAGATCGACCTGGCCAAGGCTTATGAAAGAATCTGTTGGGATTTTGTCCGGGACACTCTAGAGGTGACAGGCGCACCACCGAAGCTGATTGGGGTAACTATGTCTTGTATCACGACGTCCACAATGGAAAGTTTGTGTGCTCTGGGCTAATGGGCTTAACAAGCCCGTTCTCCCCATCGCGCGGCCTTCGACAAGGATGTCCTTTATCACCCTATCTTTTTACTTTGTGTATGCAAAGTTTGGGTCATCTTATCAATAAATCTGTTAGGGACGGGATTTGGCAGCCGATCCAGCTCACCAGATCAGGACCCGCCCTATCATATTTGCTTTTTGCAGATGATCTTAATTTTTTTTAGCTAGGCATCATTGCAGCAAGCCCAAGAGATCCTGCAATGCTTCGAGACCTTTGGAGTGGCCTCAGGACAAAGAGTGAGTAAACCGAAGTCAAGAGTCTTCTTCTCAGGAAATGTGACGGCCGAAACCAGAGCCTCCCTAAGCCCTGAGCTCGAAATCCCGCAGACGGCGGACCTCGACAGATACTTATAAGTTCTGGTTATCCACGATCGAGTATCAAAGGCAACCTACATCGAATTGATAGACAAGGTGGACAAAAGACTGTCAAGATTGAAATCTGAATCCATGAGCTTGGCAGGGCAAATTACGCTTGCCCAGTTTGTCCTATCATCCCTACCATCGTACACCATGCAGATGTCTTTCTTCCCGGCTAGAGGCAGGACTACATCGGAAAAAAATCGGAGCCTTCATCTGGGGAAGTACGTAAGGAGGGAGGAAAGTGCACCTAGTGGATTGAGACACGATATGCAGACCAAAAGAGAAAGGCGGCCTAGGTATGCGTTCGGAAACCCGAACGAATGAGGCGTACATGCTGAAAATTCCCTGGCGCCTCATCACTAACCCGGAAAGGTTGTGGGCGAAGGTTATCCAACACAAGTACATGCGGACGACAGAGGAAGGATCGGTGTCGCGCTGAACAGGGAAGATCTCAAACCTATGGCGGGGAGTACTACGGATTTGGCACATATTGGAGGAAGCCTCGACGTGGAACATACGAAATGGACGACTCCCCCGCTTCTGGAGTAACCGTTTGATCAATGACGGGGAACCTTTAGCGGCATACACGTAGGTAATTCTACAAGTGACGAGGAACCTTTCAGTAGCGGACTTCGTGCTCAACGGTGAGTGGAATAGGGAGTATATAAATATTTTCTTACCCCTTGATGTGGCCTTGCAAGTTTACCTTCACCCGGTGCTGACGGAGATAGAAGACGACATGAGATGGTGGCGGTTCTCTCCGAATGGTGAATTCTCACTTAAGACACAAGATGCTAAGAGAGGAGAACAATCCGCACCTTCACAGACACTCTACCTGGAGAGCAACCTGGAAGATCCCGACAATGCATCGAATGCGCTCGTCCATGTGGCTGGTCAATCAGCGCAAGCTCCTCACCAATGCAGAGCGGAAGCGCAAACACCTAACCAACGACGATGGCTGCAAAATATGCGGCGGGGGACCTGAAACTACACTCCACGTACTTTGTGATTGCCCTTATGCAAGAGCTACGTGGGCGGAAGCACTACAAAATGAACCTGATCATGATGATTTCTTTGAGCCAAATATTGAGAGATGGATGCTTCACTACACGACAACACTCTCTTCACGACTATGTGCCGCACCATCGACAACACTCTCTTCACGACTATGTGCTGCCTGTTGTGGAAAAGCCGGAACAATTACTGCTTCCAAGGTAAGCTGGACTCCTGTGCACACATTCAGGCTAGCTCGGTACAGCTTCGGCTTAAAGCCTCGAAGAAGGAGCAACATGTGTTCGGAGCTGGGGGACTCCGCACACCTACACTGATCCAGTGACAGCCACCTCAGCCCGGGAGGTCTTTCCTAAACACAGATGGCTTCGTAACACTTTCTACATCGAGCACGGCGGCCAGGGGAGTCATTAGGAGGGACGGCGGCCGTTTTATCACAGCTTTCTCCATGAACCTGGGAGGGGGTTCCATCACTAGTGCCGAGCTAGTAGGTATTGAGCATGGGTTACAGATTACTTAGGAGGCAGGAATTCGGAAGGTTATTCTGCAGACAGACTCGACCACGACATTGTCACTTATTGATTCAGCGACACCACACAATTCACACTATTCTTATATGGCCGAGATCCTAGGTGGGTCCATCGAGATTGGCAGGTCCAGCTTCAGCATGACTATAGATAGGCGAACGTGGTCGCCGACCACCTAGCCAATAGTGGTCATGAAACACCCTAACCCGGTCGGGTACTACTTTTACTAAAATGCCCTTGATAAATAAATTACTCAAATCTTAAATTGCAGTTGGAAAAATTTTACTAAATAAAATATTGAAAACACGCACTTGTAGTTCAAAGCAACGCTCTAACACATGGGCAAACTCAATACCTAAAATCTCAAAATGATCTCCAGTCTGTTCTCATAATCATAAATGTAAACAACTAATAATCTCTAATGTTGTTCTACTGAAAACCTTGACTAAGCATCATCTGTGATGCTTATACTGCTCTCCTCTAGCTGGCCGCCCTCGAACTCACTGCTCACTAACTGCTCCTCTAGCTACACTAGCTCTTCAAACTAGTGAGTGAGATGGGATCAGTCTACACCCTTACGATTTAAGCTTTCTATTAATACTTGATAACTTTACTTAACTTAGTAGAAGTTGTTTCATACTTTCACTATTAAAAAAAAAAATCTTAACTCTTAAAACTGTATTCTTAAAGCTCAAATCTCAAATCTCAACTTAAATTCTTGACTAACACGGGGATCCCTCACTAGCTAGTCCGGTTGCCAACTCATACGTATGAGAGCCCATCCAGGCTTTCCTTAAACTTAAACTTATCGTGGAAGGCTCTTCTTCCACGATTCTCAAGAGCATAACTGTTGCTCATCTTAAAAGTCTCCAGAGCATAACTGCTGCTCTATCTCAAAGGTCTTAAGAGCATACTGTTGCTCTATCTCAAAATCTCAACTGGCAACGGACTAACGCTAGTGAATAAAAACAATTAAAACGAATTTACCTTCTCGAAGGTGAAGTACTTCTTAAAACAAAAGGACTTGTTCTTAACTTTAACAATCACTCATAAGCGTAAAGCTTTAAAGCAAACATTACACATTCATTATGAACCACAACTCAAACAAGCACATATCATCAATCATGAGCATAAACAACCGTAGCAACACTTCAAAAAAATACTGAAAACTCTAATACTTGAAAGAATACGTAAGGCATAGAATTTACCCCCTTTACACTCACCTGACTATATAGCTAATCGGCTTCATGAACTAGGTACTCCGAAAGATATCATGGAATAGCTTAGCATTTAATCAACGTTGCACCCCCATCAACTCCATTCGCCTCAGTCATCAAAAATCAACAACAACAATTTGGCCAAGCCATGTTAAAGCACCACCCACATATGTACATACTTACCTAACCATTTCACTTGTTATTCCTCTACGAACGAACTACATGCGGGTAGTGTAGGTAACTTACCCAAAACCATTCGCCTTCAGTTTCCGCTTCCTCGTACTCCGCCGCTACTTCCTGGGTGTGTTTTCCAGCAATTGTGGTATCTCGGTGGAATTTAGGGAGAGGGGACACGCTGGGCTGGCAAACTTCTCGTGTCCAAATTGATACTCTCCCCTGTCCGCTTACCCAATCGACTCCTTATCACCTCCTGCTAGCTTAAGCAGGAAGCTCCAATAGTGGATGAGAGAACGACAAGAATGACCTTCAGAGAAAGTCCTGCTTCTCCTACTTTGGTCGAAGCACCTGAGACAACCATCAGTCATCCCTTGATTTACGTAGGAGTGGTCCCCCTCCTTCTTTATTAGAGGGAAGAATAACAAAAGATGTCATGGAACATCTTAGCATTTAATCGACGTTGCTCCCCATCAACTCCATTCGCTCGGTTATCAAAATCAACCACAATAATTTGGCCAAGCCATTTTAAAGCATATTTACTTAACCATTTCACTTGTTATTCCTCTACGAACTAACTACATGCGGGTAGTGTAGGTAACTTACCAAAAACCATTCGCCTTCAGTTTCCGCTTCTTCGTAATGCATATGGGCGTCGCTACTTCCCGCGTGAGTTTGCCGGCAATTGTGATTTCTCGATGGAATTTAGGGAGAGGGGACACGCTAGGCTGGCAAACTTCTCATGTCCAAATTGATACTCTCCCCTTTCCGCTTACCCAATCGACTCCTTGTCCCCCCTCCTGCTTGCTTAAGCAGGCAGCTCTCATTGTAGATGAGAGAACGGCAACAATGACCTTCGGCAGCAGGTCACCGCTACCATTCGGTCCCGCTTCTCTTGCTTTGGTCAAAGTACTCGAGAAAACCATCAGCCATCCCTTGATTTACGTAGGAGTGGTCCCCCTCCTGCTTTATTAGAGGGAAGAACAACAAAAGATTTCATGGAACAGCTTAGCATTTAATCGACGTTGCTCCCCATCAACTCCATTCGCCTCTCCTACGTTGGTTAAGCACCCGAGACAACCATCAGCCATCCCATGATTTTGTGTAGGAGTGGTCCCTCTCCTGCTTTTATTAGAGGGAAGAACAACAAAAGATGTCATGGAACAGCTTAGCATTTAATCGTTGTTGCTCCCCCATCAACTCCATTCGCCTCGGTCATCAAATACTAACCACAACAATTTGGCCAAGCCATGTTAAAGCACCGCCCACATATGTACATATTTACTTAACAATTTCACTTGTTATTCCTCTATGAACTAACTACATGTGGGTAGTGTAGATAACTTATCCAAAACAATTCGCCTTCAGGTTCACGTACTTTCATTCACGTACTAGGACCTGAAATATCACAAACAAGCACAACCTAGCGTGAAATCGGCCTAAAACACGAGAATCAACACCTCAAACGGCTCCAGAATAGGGGCAAAAACATGTGCAATTAACGGTTTATCAACAGTCAATTTGGTCGTGGGCTAATCATATGCCTCCATCATCTTAGCTAATGACAACGTGAATGCTACACATCATGGAAGAGGGAACTATCGCACATGAAAGAAACGAGCAGGCTCAAATCTCACATGGCTACCTATATGCTCTATCTCTCATTCTGATTCCCTGAACTAGATGCAGAAACGACTGTCAAGAACAAGTGATCAATCCAAGTCACAGTTGGTAAGAAAACAGTTGAAAAACTGAACCCCTACACAATTCTACTGCACGTCTCAATCATCGTTATAGGCTGTCCTAGTTACAATCAAGCTGTCATGCAATAAATCGAAAACCTTTCGATTCACCAATCAAATCACAGTGCCAATATGATCATGCAAACAGCAATACTTGGAGCCCTCAAATCTTGAGATTTGGACAGCGGACTAGGCTCCAAGCACACATATATAGATTCCAACCGATACAAAGCACCCCCCACACTTAAGCACGACATTGCCCTCAATGGAGCAGAGGGAAAGAGAAGGGGAACGATGTTACCGGATGGAAAGACTGTCGGGGGACTGGAAGTGGACCAGTAAGCGGGGCTAGCATCAGCAAAACACACTGGGTGATAGAAACCATAGTTCCAAGTGAACAAACCGAAGAACAAACGAAAGAAAAACAAACCTTGGTGGGGTTGCCTCCCCACAAGTGCCTCTTTACGTCTTAGCCAACGCTCTCATAGATGTGCATGATGCGACCTTAGTCTTGAGGGATGGCAAGGAGCGAATAACATTTTCCATTTCTAATACTCTCCCTGGTGCATCGCCCTTGCATGCTGTTTCTCACCAGGAGCACGAGCCTGTTGTGTATCCTTCTGTGCTCTCCATTTTGCAGGATCCTCCTCCCATATCTTCGCCGCCACTCCCGTCCACACCGTCACCTAAGGAAAAGATCAAGGAGGAGTGGCGGCCGAAACTGTAGGTAGCTAAGCCTGCTCAAAACAAAGCCGGAGACCACTATGAACTGGTCCCGACTCCTTAGCCTCGATCGCCTTGGCTATCCGAGTATTCACTTGCTTGCATCCTGCCGGATGGCCAAGTTGAGTTGACGAGTGCTGGTAGTCACACCCGTCGCGTGCATGGCCACCGTCTGAAGCTGTACCTCAAGAGCGATGTGGATCCACTCTTGAAGGCACATGTTCCTTCACCTCTCTGAGCATCCACCCTACTGGCATCCAGCTAAAAGACGGTAAAGAAGCGCTTGTGGGGAGGCAACCCCACCAAGGTTTGTTTTCCTTTCGTTTGTTTTTCGGTTTGTCCACTTGGAACTATGGTTTTTATCACCCAGTGTGTTTTGATGGCTCTAGCTCTGCTGACTGGTCCCATTTCCAGTCCCCCGACAGTCCGTATTCCCGGTAACATCGTTTCCCCTTGTCTATCCCTCTAATCCATTGAGGGCAATGTCGTGCTTAAGTGTGTGTGTGGGGGGGGGGGGGGGTTATCTATTTTTGACTGCTATATGAGTTTGTGTGCTTGGAGCCTAGTCCGCTGTCCAAATCGCGAGATTTGAGGGCTCCAAGTACTGAGGTTTGCATGATCATATTGGAACTGTGGATTTGATTGGTGAATCAAATGGTTTTCGGATTATTGCATGACAGCTTGAATGTAACTAGGACAACCTATGAGGATGACTAAGACGTGCAGTAGAATTGTGTAGGAGTTCAAATTTTCAGCTGTTTGCTTACCAACTGTGACTTGGATTGATCACTTGCTCTTGACAGTCCTTTATGCATCTAGTTCAGGGAATCAGAATGAGAGATAGAGCATATAGGTAGCCATGTGAGATTTGAGCCTGCTCGTTTCTTTCTTGTGCGATAGATCCCTCTTCCATGATGTGTAGCATTCACGTTGT